TGTCCCCATCCATCCTTCTACACATCCATCATCTAGATCTATCTAGCTAGTTAGCTATTTATTCAATCATCTTTCACACTACTATGAACTTATTCCATACTTTTGATAATACTACAATGCTACTCTTATTTATTGTATGGCCCACACTGTCTCAACTTTGGGCATTAAGAGCCTTCCTAGTTTAGCTCCTATGTCCCTTTGGTGCACTATCATCCTTTTTTCTTTTAGAACAATCCCTCACTGTCTGACACAAGATACTCCAAGGTCATCTTGCATCTTCCTGTCCCAATTTGAGAATCATCAGTTTCCTCAAAGAACACCAGTTCTTTTCAGTGGAGAATGATACTTAGAAACTCAGATCTAGGTGCTGGGTATGTTCTCTACTAGTGGGCAAATATACATTTTTAATGTTCATGTTATGAATGTTATGAATAGCCTCTACTCTAAAACTGGTGGCTAAAATTATAGTGGTTTGTATAAGCATCTGTCAGGGAACAGTCCCTCAAAATAATCAACTTTGAATTTCAAAGCAAAGGCAGTGAGTAAATTCTACTAGATTTCGTTGCTGGTGATGGGATCTGGGAGATTTATTTTATTTTCTCTGCCTATAGGTAAGAACATTTCTAACCTCTAATGGTGAAATACTATCTTTGGTTTTATAGACTTTGATAAGATGATTTGTTTTTCTAAATTGAGATTCTTCCATCCTCACGAACAGAGCTTTTCTTTTTCTTTTTTTTTTTTTCCCCAAAAACTGACCCAAATGAGAAGGCAGCCACAGGTCATTACTCTTTTCTATACCAGACTCAGGCCCACGCTGATGTGACAGAAGGAATGAAATGGACTTTATATTTGAAATTTAAGGCCTTTATATCATTTTGCTTCATCATGTACAAGGATGAATTTTGCTTTATCATGTATGTATGTCATGGCAAATCTACTTTTTTACTTGGAGATTTTGTTTTCAATACTGCAACTTTCATTTCTCCTATTTACTTTTATTTAGGGGGAGGAATTTTTAAACCTTTAGAAAATGGCAAGTATAATACAATGAAAATCTATCTGCTCTTCACCAAGTTTCAATTAATTGGCAACATCTTGCCTATGGTCGAGACCCCACTGATTGTAAGATGTGTAAGCTGGGGAGTGCTGGCTGCCTTAGCTGTGTTGTGATATGGGACAGAACTGGGCCCAAAAACGAAGGCGCTTGGGGCTGCAGACTAGACGCTTTCTCTCTTTACCATGCCATGTTCCAACATGACATTCTGAATATCTAAGAACTTTATATTTTAACTGGAGTTTCCAGGAAATTATGAAGGGATATTTGTCAAGGTAGGAGATAAAACATATCTCATTAATTCAGTACATTCATTTATAACTTTCAAATCCCCAGATATGCACTATAAAGGGTCCATTTGCACTCTTGCCTTCAAAAGTTTGAGGAGGCACCTAACACACTTCTCTGGAAAGGGAAAAGTGATACTACTTTTTCACTAATCTCACTTAATCTAGAAACTGGTTTTGGTACTACCCATTGTCTGAAATGGAGTTAAGCCCTTGGAAAAGAATTGCTAAAAGAAAAAAAACCTGTTAAACTGTAACCTTTTATTAGATTATGATTTCCTAAACTTGTGAATCTATTTGAAAACTGTGTATTACAGGATTTAAGGTTGAGATGCTAGAGTAAAATCACCACAGTATTAAACTCTAAATTATATGACTACCAAATTTCATCTGTCTACCTATTTTTAACTTGAACTGGACATCACAAAAACATTCAATAGAGAAGGTTGCTTCAAAGAGGTGTATTTTGGATGTGGGAAAAGAGAAGGGAAAGAAGGAGAAATTTTGTATGTATGTATATACAGGATAGTTAACATGGTTGTTCT